CTGCTAGATCTTGAACACTAAAACGGCAAGTCACAGCATAGTATGGGATGCCATATTCCACATTATGCTCATCATGCCATTCATGTAAATGTCATTATATGCCATGAAACAGTGCATTGTTTTATTTTTAATATATTAAACCATTTTTAAAAATGTGGTACATGTTTGATTTATCCTTTCTGATTTATTGGATAGCTTGCAATGGAAGTGAACACCAAATTCAATGAAACCATTTAATACAAGGAATAAGAAAAACAGATAAACATTCAGCATCCTAATTAGAGGAGCAGCTATTTTTTTTGATATTTCTTGTAGCCTGGAATCATTTTTGTAGGATATTCAAAACAGATGCTCTTTTAATTAGAAGCAGAAAATCTGAATTTCAGCTAGCAGCACCCTAGAGTAGCTTGAGTGCATTGGAGATAAAACACCAAGTTTACATAAATTCTGCCACCTTCTGTTATGTAAATGTGTGCTTATGTATAATCTGCTCGGTGGCATCAGCTCAGCCTCTCCCTGTGGCTGTCACAGTCTCCCTGCACAGAGGCCAGAGTCCAAGGCACTGAAGGGGCATGAGCTGCTCTTCTTGAGCAACAGTGATGGAGACCTGCAGCTTTTCAAGCAGTGGATCCTGGATTCTGGTGTCTGTGCTGTCTATATGCAATTTACGTAGCTGCTGCTGTCTGCAGCTATATATAGAAGCAGATTTATTACTATGGGTATGTTACCAAGAGAGCAGATCCAGCCTGATAGGAGAAATAATATTAATTCCATTGAGTTCAAAAAATATCTCCTGTATCCTGCTTATCCTTGTCTCTATTTTATAGCCATGACAGCAGTGATAGATGTCTGAGAAATACCTAAGCCAGAATAAACCTCAGTAGAAAATCCAAAATGAAATGTGACCTCTCAAAAATTGTAATTTTATGACAGCAAAAATACAATAGTACCTTATTGCAAATGACAACTTCATAGACACAAAGAAACCAAACCCATATTATCACCATAGTTCACTCCATGTCTAAATGTGGACAAGAAGAATAAGAAAAGCACAGCCATGTTTACAATACTGTCTTCCTGAGGTTCAGGCAGCCATTCCAAAAATAATAGCCAGCAAGTCACAACAAAAAGCATTGCCTGGATTTTAACTCCTTTTGGCTCTACATAAGGTAAAAGTTAAGTATAGCAGTTTTATTCCTTCACAACGAAGGGTTGTCCATGACAACACAGTTACCACAGTTCTTATCTTTCACACTGTTTTGACTGCCTGAAGTTGCATTCCATTCACTGCATTTCCAAAGGCAGAAACATCCTAACATTTCAGCTTCCCCCAGGCTCAAGTCTCAGTTGGAAGCTGAAAGGTGAGTGTGCAAGAGGTACCTTGGTGGTTTGAGATAACATAATGAATCATGAGACTTACCTAAGCTCAGCCAAGGGCCAATATCAAATATTCTGGAAGCCTTAGAACCAGGGATGCCTGGCAAAGACTACTTAGTTCTGATAACAGGGAAAGACAACTCCTTCATGAGTTCTTTCAGGTACTTCACAGAATGAAAAGAGGAATGAGATCTAATGGAATAGAATAGGGCTTTAATTGGCCCATCAATGCTAATGAGACCTGCAGGAATCATCTTGCTCAATACTTTCTCACTGGATTTGATGTAAAAGGTTGGGTATTTAGATTGTCCTGCCATACTGAACACAGGTACCACACCCAGATGAGCTTGCAGACCCTGGCCCTAGGCAGACAACAGGACATCTGAACACAGACTGTAGCTGCTTGTTACTATAGAGAGGACAGTGTGGGAGGCAAGCTGTAGAGTTTTAAATAGGTTTTTAAGACCTAGAAAAAAAGCCCGAGTCAACTGCAGAGAATAGGGGAGTGAAGGGAAGGAAAACTGATAATGTGAGATGCATAAGCAGATTGGCAAGACTGGTGACACTTGGTGCTTTCCTTAGAGCTTCATCTTTTAGAAGTAAGGGACTAAGGAGAGAGATTGATTTAATTTAATATTAGAATACTTTTAACTCTTCACCAGGTCATTTCAACATTAAATTTGTAACTGAAATTACACATTAGTGAAAACAGTAGAATCCTTTAGAAAGGGGAAAAAAATGTTCAGGAGATGATGCATCATTTATACAACTTATCTATTGAGAAGTAAAATGTTTTTATCTAAATATGATCTTGTTTTGAATGCCAATACTACTTTGACAGAATCACGTGGAAGTATAAAAGGAGCCAGGAATGTTTTGGAGCACAGAGAGCTAAATGAGAATAAGAAAATATAGTGTTTTCCTTCCATCGTAGCTGTCTTGGTATGCAGTATTTAAAGCCTAGCCTCAAACTGCATAGTCCTGTCCAAAGTGAATCTTGAAATCACAGTAGTTGGAGCTGGAAATTGGAAGGTGCACTGTAGATAGCTTCTTCCCAAAGAATGACTTCAGCTTTTCTATTACAAAGACCTTTTTCTTTTAGAATTCAGAGAAATAAGAAGTATGTCCATGGTTGCCTGCTGATCACTAGGACAGCTCTAAGGCTCCTGAAGCACTCTGGAAATACAAATTCTTTCATTCACACGCAGGCATTGCAAAACCAGCCTTACAGAAGAAGAAAGGGTGGTTTGGGCACACCACATGACAAGCTCAAGGTCACACAGTTAAGGAGGAGCAGATCTTGGAATAAACCAGAACAAGCCTATAATTCCTGGTCCCTCTTGGTTGGCATTCTTTCCTATTCCTATGCTCGAGTCTGATGACTCTACAGCACTGTAAATACCAGCCAGTCCTTCAGTACAGAAGGACAGGGTTTGCTTTAATGCTATTTTTAGCTAAGCAGATCCCACTTTTAAATCTGCAACGCCTTCATTTTCAATATCATGATTATGTTTAATGTTCCATAGGAAGATGAGGGGATTAGTATGAATCAGAAAGCATAATGCAGCGTAGGCAGTACCACGCTGCCTTCTGAAACACCAGCACAGAGCAAGTAGGAGCTTCGGAGGGGGCTTTGCACAGGGAAAAGGCATTAGGCAGCTGGACGTGTCAGCTGGGTGCCTCATCAGGCAGCTGGTGCAAGTGGAAGGTCAAAAGCACATTTACTGTTTACTGAATTTGTAAATTACTGATTTTTCAGCTCACTAAGCAAGGCAGGCTTATTGCCTGCGCGTGATATTCCCCCTCCTGTCAAGCCTAAGCACATATGGAAGAGAAGGAATTCTCAACTATATTTTGATAGATGAAAGTCATTAAAGCACCATAATAAAGAATGTAAAGAGCTATAATGGGTAGGTCACTAGTAAATATAAGCACACTTCCATGTTGGACAGAAAACAGGTGTAGAAGTCCAGCTGAGCACTGAAAACAGCAGTTCTGTCTCTGCAGAGAGCTCAGGCTGCCTTGCTAACCAGGAGATGGTAGGATTTGGTGTCTGTGTCCATGGGAAGCAGTGGCCTAGGAGCTGAAGAATGGTCTGCACTCACATTCCCCTGTAGGAGACAGAGGCAGCAGCCAGGCAGACACCACCTTGCAGCCAGGGAGATTTTAGAGGCTCTGGCCAGCAGAAGCTACACCACAAGGAAGAAGACTGCCAAGAAAGGAAACAAGGAAACGGTCTGCAACATGGTCAGGAAAAAAAATGCATGGTGGGCCTTGAACCAAGAAAACAGATTTGTTCTTTCTGTCCTGTCAGCAAGAGATATGACTTTGGAAATGAGCTACTCAAGAATTTGTAAGAAAGAGACCTGAGACAGAGTATACCATCATCTCAACTTGCAAAATGAATGAACTCTGATGTCTTTTAGTCTGTCTACATTGGGGCAGTCAAAGATGACTGACATAAGGATGCTTGTGGTAACTTCAACCAGATAAACCCAAATGAGAAGAATTTAATTAGGTTATCCAAGTGGCCAAACTACTAGGTTAGCCAAGTGCCTTCTTCTCCAAAAGTGTATTCTTGCACAGGGCAATATCTGCCAAAAGAGGAATCAAAATGTGACGCTTCTGGAGAGAGCAGGACTAAAGGATATCCCCTCTTTGGGTATATGCAATATCTACCAAGACCCTTTAGGAAGAGAGGAAAAAATATTTACCCCCTCCTGTACTTGACTGCTCAGACAAGACTAGGAGTGAAGATTAACAAACTACCAGATCTTCCCAGAGTAAAGACAAGAAAAGTCAGGAAAACAGGAACTGGCATGGAGGGATGGAAATAAGCATCAACTATAGCAGACAAATGAGGAAGTGCATTTCTCAGATATTGGAAAACTGAAGTAAATACTCCAGGTGGGAAGATGGACTTGAAAACAAACAAAATTTAAAATCCTAAGATGCTTATGCCAGTGGAAAAAACAAAGCAGCAATGAAAATCAGCCGTTAAATCCAATAGAGAGGTTTTGGATAAACTGTATTAATTCAGAAGTTCTACACCAAGCATGCCACTCAATCTACACATATCACAAACAGCCAGGCTTTATAGGGCAGTGTACAGGCACCAGAAGCAGGGGAAGTGAGGTAATGCATTGGTGAGCGGGCAGTGAAGGGAATTCTGCTAGATATGCCAAAAAGAGCTGGTTTTGAGACGGCAACTTTCATTTCTCAATTCTGGCTGAGATAATTCTGCATCAGAAAAGGGATCTTCACCTCAGATGACTTGGAACTACTACTTTAATACAGACTTCCATGCTGACAGTTCAAGACCTTTTCAATCACAATTTGATTTCCAGACCCTGCATTATCCTAAAATGCATGAAATTGCATCTGACATTCTGAAAGATCTGTTTCAAAAGTAAGAGGCACTATCGGCTTTTTCAAAGCACTTCATGCAGCTCAATTCCCAGTGGACAGATGGGAACACCAAGGGGCTGCCAAAGCATATCTCAAGTCTTGCAGCAAACAAAAAATTCATATAAATATACCGCTTTGAGTATATGTGAAGATGTTCCTCTAAGCCTTCTCAGTGTCATTTGTTATATTAACGTGTATCTCAACTGTTTTTGTAGGTGCTGTTGCAAGTTATGATTTCATGTCCACACCTGCTTGCCTACCATGGTACTGTGGGGTAAGTGACCTTGTTGAGGTATAAATAGTCCTGGAAGGAGTGGATCTTTGAAGGAGATTTGAAGAACCCCTGAGTCGTGATGACATGGCTGGGTGTACATACCCAGTTCTTGGAAAGCGTTGCTGCAAGTGACTGCAGGGTCACAGGTCAGCGGGGTATGGACCCCGCGCGGGAGCTGACTCTGAGGGCCTTGAAGAGGAGGGAAGGCAGTGGCTTACACTCTGCTTGATTAAAGACTTATTTTAAATCCTACTTAAAAAGCTGTCAGGTTATAAAAGAAATAACGTTCCCAAGAAATTACTAAAAAGAGCTACGGGATTAATTAAGCTGACAGAACTACTGTGGGATAAATATGGTGCAAACAGCAGAGGCAGAAAGGCAGACAACTATTTCCTATACACAAGTACAGCTAGAAACTGCTTCTCCTTTGTTTTCATCTGCTCTCAAGCACAAAAGGGCTAGGTAAAATCTATACACAGATACCTAGCAGGCAGTGTCCATATACCCCTGGAGTTTGAGCAGTATCTTGACTCCCTTGTGCTTTCCACCTTTGTTTCTTTCTGAAATACATCTCAACTCGGTTTGTCTTTTGAGCTTAAAAGAATAATCAAGAAGTGAACCTTGTAAGTGAAAAGCAGATTTAGAGATCCTCAGGCTGTTGAATAATGTGATTATGGATCTTCAGTTTTGGAAGGAGCAGCAAAACATGATGCATTAAGTTGCAAGGACTAGCACATCTTTTCAGTGAACTATACGTGCATTATACTTTTGATCTGCTTTCTACAGAGGAAGACCAGTCACTCCCATCACAGACTGGAAGCTTCTTTTGGAAAAGGCAGTGGTAGATTTGGAGTTTGCCTGAACTGCTAGTGACCCCCCTTAGCTGTTGTGTCAGAGGCTCTGCGGCACTGCCTCTATGCCTCACCCGTCCCCACACTGAGCTTGCAAAGGTCTGTTAGAAATCAACTGCAGAATAATTACTGCAGCGCTTGGCTCCAGATCTAACTTGGAAACTGCTAAGTCATCAGCTCTACAAGATATAAATTATCACTTCTGGTCAGTTTCAGTGAAAAATATGAAAAGCCACAGCATCCTGAAAGATCATCTAGACATAGCTTAAGTCCAGTCCAAATAAAATAAAAACACATGATGTGTAATGCTTTCTGCAGTGGCTTGTGATGCCTTTAGCACAAAGAGGCAGACAAGGATGGCTTTGAGCCTGAGCAGTGTTTGTGCCATCCTGTGTATATGTCTTATGATCTAAACCTGGTCTGAAAAGCCAGAAATAATTTTATAGTGGAACTTCTCCATAATCTTAAAACAGAACAATTTTGAACACCTTTCTTTTCAGAGTTCCATTCTTAGTGCCTGACTGCAAGGTAAAAGTCACATCTAGACAGAGCTACTAGTCCAGGAGATTAACACACTAGAAAAATATTTTGGTTATGAATTGCTATTGAATGTTTTCTGATTCTGGCATTTACTAATATCCTCTAAGTGATTTCCACAATAGGTTTTCGAGCTGAAGACTAAAAAATTTAATTTTTTTAAACCCTAGTCTTGCAAACCACTTGATAAATAGCTCATGTGAGCTGTTTCCATTACTTTGAGTGAAACCAGGCTTCTTTTGCAAATAGTTGTCTTAGAGTTCAACATTTGCCTTCTTAGACTTCTATTTGTCTAAGATTAGCTGTTTCACAAACATTCTTTGCCATGATTTCTTCAAAATTCCTTGCTAAAATACTGGTAAGATGAAAATACTGCTCATAGATAAAATTCTCCATTTTCTTAAAACAGAGACAAAATGTACTTTCAGTTATTTGTTGTACTGTGCTATGAGGATATTAATCTAACAATTAAGAAACATTTATCCAGTTATTGTGCAGAAGCCAGAACTAAGTACCTCACAGTCTTATCCAGAAAATGTTTCCATGTGGAAAGGATGTACCAATGCTCCTATTTTAGCCTGAGAGCAAGGCCTAGAGAGGCTGAACAACCTTTAGAGATCACCCAGAGCCTTTGAGAAAAGGAAAACATAAACAGGGACTCCACTGGAATACCTTTCCTTTCCTGAATAAAAAGGAAAACAAAATTACCAAATGATCCTCTCCAAACAGCACCACTCAGTCACAGAGCACTGATGTCAGATTCTTTTAGGAATATTCCAGACATAAGTCTTTGTTTTAGTCCCTCTGGCACTTTGACTAATTCATGAATCCCAGTGGTATTGAGGTGGGATATATTTTGGCACACCACGAAAAGTCCTAAGCTACTGTGAAAGATTTACTTAGATAACTTTCTGTAAAAAATGCAAGAGTCATTACAAGTATCCCATTTACTTCTAACTTTGAAGTTAAAAAATCACAAATGCTTTAGTTAGCTAAATATTTATAATAGCTTGTCTTTATGCATGCAATGCATAATGCCTTCTAAGTACTTTAAGCTAGAAATAGAGAAACATCCAAAGCTGAAAGAGCCATATTTGGGGTGAAAAATGGAAATTGTTTAAAAACATCACATTCAGTTAGAAGAGAAATGACACATTTTAATGTATGGGCTATTTTGAGTCAAGCAGGCGGTAAGGATTATAGTTAGAATTTGGCCAGAATATCAGACCAGGATATCATACTTGCAAAAGAGAGCAGCTGTCAGTAATAAAAGTAAATAAGCAATAGGAGCCCTCCAAAGAAAGAGACATCTGCACCCATGGCCAGCCTGGAGGCCAAGCTCAGGCATGACCTGTGCACAGCAATTTCAGTGCTCCTTCCTGCAGTGCCCTGCCCTGGGCTACCTGGTGAGGAAGCATTCCTGGAAATGAACACCTACTGCCCAAAATTACCCACAAGATGCCCAAGGCACTCACTTGTCTTACAAAGCTCTTGGAACGTGGATGCCCTTCTTTCAGCATAGGTTTTCCCTCACTCAAGCAGCAGTGCTCCCTTTTCTACAACTTGGATTTCTTCCCTGAATACCCCAGCTCCTTGATTTCAGCCAGCACATCAGCAAAGGCAACAGGTGAAAGCCCTGGGTTCTTTCCCAGTTCATGCCTACAACTGCTGTGGATATAAAACTTCCTTGTGAGAAGTTCATGATGCTGGCAGGAACAGCCACAAGATGGGTATTCCAGTGATGCTACAAGCTGTCAATATTGCCACTCGACAGCAGTTGGCAGCAAAGCTTGTCACTGCAGGTCTGACCTCAGCCTTCACTGCTCGGGTACTCACAAATCCAACTCCCACATCACTAAATGCAATTTTCATTATTGGCAAAGAATGAAGTGGGACACGTTTGCTCTGCAATCAATACATTTATCTGTGCAGTCAAAATTCTGTGTAGACAGGCACACAATTGCCCAAAGTGCTTGAAAATTTGCATTAAATTCATTTATATATATTCCATTAGCCAATTTTCTGCAGTTTCTCCATTTATGTATTACTGGTTATGCGTGCCTGCAAAATGCAAAGTTTTATTATCTATAAATCTGAAATTGTATTGTGGCACTTGTGCCTTTTGGTTTTTTCTCTGCTTTTAAAGTCTGTTTGCCAAATGCCATGGTTTTGTTTGCTGAAATTTCATGACAGATGCAGACTAGTAGTGCAATGAAAAGGCATTTGACTATTTCTGTGGACCCCCAAAGATCTCAAACCAGAAATGCATGGGCGAGGGAGAGCAGGGAGAACCAGCACTTCTCTCATGTCTCTTGGCTGTGGAGACTCAGTTGGGTGCTGTAAAGCACCGAACATTCTGTGACCAAGAAATAGCACTTTCTGTTTTGTGTCTCAGTTGCAGCTCCAGCAGCTCCAGCCTCCTCCTTTCACCAAACAGACATGCTGTCTAAAAGCTGTTACATGAATGTTTTCTTCCACGTATAACAGTGCTGGAAATTTTCCTATTTGGGCTGCTCAAGAGTCACAAATGAGATCCTAACCTCTTTCTACAAGGTTTCATACAAATTTACTGATCAGAAGCTACAGCCTGAAGTCAAAGGAAAGAAAGGTGTTATTCTTCACCCAAGTGAGACAGAGAATGACACTTCTTTGGGGTGCATCTCCTTAGTCTAGATGGCCCATGAAGAAAACACACTACAGAAGATATAGACAACCTGGGGCAAAGTTTCTGAATTTGAGGTAGATTTATTCCAGTTCAAGGTTATTATGACTGTAATATTTTTTCCTTTCCTTTCAATGCTGAGATTTTCACAGAATACCTAGTGTCAAACCAGACTGACTTTCCTGGGATAATAAAAGACATCATTTCCCAGAAATGGAAGACAATTTTCTGAATCCCCACCTAGTACCTTATCATACCTTCCTTCCTTATTTCTCTATCTTTCAACACCACTTCCAGTATATTGAACGCAACCTTGGCTCTGAAAAATAAATCTGTTATTTAGAGACAGAATAGCTCTATACAGGAGTCTGTAAGCTCTAATCCTACCTTTTTCTAGTCAAGATACACATCAAGGGCTTTGACAAGCATAGAAAAAAGTAACTGAAGTAACTGTTTCAAAGCTATGTGGCTGACAGAAAGCTTCCCCATAATATATATATATATATGATATATATGTACAGTTATAAGTGAGCATTTCTTTGGAAGCACACACCTGACAAATCCCTTGCAATCTTCATCTAAACTATTGTAGCTTCAGATGCACATATGCATCCAAGACTCAGTATATTGACTGACTCAGTTAGAACAGAAAGGCAATTGCTATGCCAAAGGGAGAAGTTGGGAACTGCTCTCAGCTGGGAGTCTCATGCAGTTTACAGAAAGGCTCTGAAAACATGAAACACTAATGCTAACAGGGTACAGTGAGGCTGTTCTCACAATGTCTCATCAATAAACATCATAAAGGACTTGCATCAAGAAATAGTACTCCATTTACACTATAAGCAAACCATAATGAATAAGGAAAACAAATAGGAGAGCAATAAGGAAGGCAGGCAGAGAGTACAAATGTGACCACTGAAACACATATAAAGCAGCAGGGTTACTGGTGA